GGGGGACAGACCTGCAGGCTGCATACCAGTGATCGCAGCGACATCGCCAAGATCAAAAACTAGCGGTGGCTTCCCTGCTGTACATTTAGCTCTGCTTGCCCAAAGCAGGGCTGAATGTAGAAACAAAAATACCCGCCCGGTGCCCGGAACTGCATGTCCTGGGCATCGGGAGATAGGAATTCCACACGCCTGCCACCCCTTTACTCTACTCCCTGCCGTCCCAATCCTGGGCCTCGGTGGCCTTGTTGGAAAGTGCCCGCCCCGCCTGACACCCCAGCCGCGTTTCCCGGGCTCTGCTGCCCCTCCTGATTTCACCATTCTCCTCTCCGCTCTATGGGACTGGGAGCAACGCGGATTGCATCACTTCCGGTCCCTGAGCTGTCATTGCTTGGCTTATGAAGCCCAGCAATAAGCTATTTAAGTCCAATCTGCACAAAACTAGCAGCGGCTTCCCAGTCCTGAGCAATGGGAGATAGGAATTCCACAGCCCTGCTGCCCCTCTACTCCCTTTCCATGTGGGAAATCTGGCCCTGTCTGCCACAAGTGAGAGTCTGAGTAAAGCAAATAAATCTTAGGCTACATTTACACTAGATGTGATTACATTTACGCATTTATATGCAGGCCCAGATTCCCCACAAGGCCACCGAGGCCTTGGGGCGGCAGGGAGAGTAAATCCGGCCCTGTTTATATGCATTTAAAAAGCTTTTTTAAATTAACTTCTAAACACACCAAAACGCATAAAAATGCGTGTAAACATGTGTGAACACATTTATATGCATGATTTGAGGCTAGAATTTGGTACCAGATGTATATGCATGTAAACAAATGTAAACACATGTAAATGCTCATAAATGCGTGTAATTTAATGCACCTAGCTTAGAGCATAGACACAGCATCTAGCCTAACAGTTTTTCTCTGCATATAGATCACAAAAACGCAAATGGCAAGGGTGAATGTAGCCTTAGTGCAATCATTAAAAAAAAAAATGAAACTCATCCATAACATATGCGTTTCTGCACACAGAATATAGACACAGAGCTAACAAACTGTCAGGGCCACACCACTCATGACTGAATAAATGTCAAAGTGCCGCAGTGCTGAATACTGAAAAAGTGGTCAGGTTATGGTACTCACAGGCCACAGAAGTGCAGGGGTCAGGAAGATGCATCACACTGAGTGCAGGGGTCCGGGGTATGTTACTTATAGACTGCAGGAGTCAGGAGAATGTCATGCACAGAGTGCAGGGGTCAGGAATATGAAACACACTAAGTGCATGGGGCAGGATTATGTTACTCACAGATAGCAGGAGTCAGGAAAATGTTATGCACAGAGTGCAGGTGTCAGGAGTATGTAATGCACTGAGTGCAGGGGTCAGGGGTATATTACTCACAGACTGCAGCAGTCAGTAGAATGTTAAGAATGGAGTGCGGGGGTCAGGTGTATGTAACACAAAGAGTGCAGAGGTCAGGGGTATGTAAGTGCAACAGCCATAAATATGTAATTTAGAGCACAGCATAATGAATACAGCAATCAGGGGTATGTAACATACAGCACGCTGTACAGTATGTCAGTCTAAAGCCAACAAGTATTGCTTAGTTTGGTGAAAAATAATTAGAAAAAATAATTAGAACCTTTGACAAATTTTATCTGCTGTCTGTGTCCCTGTTCAGGAGATACTGTATACTCTATTTTCCTGGCAACCACTGTCACAGGGACTGTAAATGAGGGGAAAAAAATAAAAAATTGAGTTGTC